GAGAGGTATTAAGTATGAGCGTTAAGATACGGTATTCGGTAATACCGTATCTTATCGATTGGGATTCGATAAATCACTAACGCTGTATTAAGTACATCATACACAGATGTTTAGACGATACGTCGTCCAATAGCAAAGTCTGCATATAATAATTACTATTATAGTAATTAATCTAGTGTAGTGTACTTAGAGTAGGACTATTCATAAAATCTTAAAGCATAATAAAGTTAGTTCTCCTTTTGAGTTTAAGATCGCAAGTCGTTCTGACTTGTTCTCTTGTGCACTTCGTGCGTTGGTTCTCTGAACCCCTAAGCTTCTAGCTTGTTCTTGCACTCTGTGCGTTGGTTCTCTGAACCTTGAGCATATTGCTTGATTGACTAAAAGTCTCTTTCCTAGTTCCTTAGAACAGGGTGACTTTAAGTCGTTTAATTAGTTCCTTAGAACTAAGTGGCTTTTAGCCTTCACTCTATTTAGTTCTCTAGAACTAAGAGGCTTCCAGCCGAAAGTCTTCCTCTGGCTAGAGAGCTGTGTGGCTCTGCTACACCTTTTTGCCTGTGTGCAGCTTTATGATAGTGCCCGTTGTTCCGACGGATAGGTGCGCGAATCTACGCTGATAGAACCCTGGCCCACCATATATCTTAACATAGGGATGGTCACTCGTCGTTTCGACGGACATGGTGAGCCAACATCTGCTAAATAATCTTCGTACCTACTTATTATTCTGGTTGAGTCAGGTAATTGCTACATATGAAGTCAATAAGTAGGAAAGGCAACGTCTACCTGTCGACGCTGGTCAATGTGTACCCGTCGTCTTGACGGACGCAGTAACCAAAGTATGTCTAAAATTTCGTATGATCGGTCATAGAAGTTAAACTGATGGGTATGAAGGTGAATGTGTACACGTCGTTTCGTAAATATCCAATTTATTATAGTACACAACGAACGAATTTTTTTATTATATAGATCGTACGATATAAATTTCAGTCATGCTATCCATTTTTTAATATAGATGTCCGACCGATTTATAGCATGGCATTTTACGTTATCCGTATCTGTTGGTTATCTTTAGGTGTGTCAAACAACTTTTTGATGCTGACCTCTTCGTATTTATATGCAAAATCAGCCAATCCAAAATTAGCAAATAATGCAAAAGTAGCCAATCCGAAGGCCGGAAAAGGATTAAACGGACGGACAGTATTCTTTTATTATACAGACTAGGGTATTTACCCGTCGTTACGACGGACATGGATTTATGCTATTAATACATATATAGGGGTGTTCCCGTCGTTTCGACCGATATGTGCACAATTTTGACGCTAATCGTATATTGACTTTGGTGATTGATTAGTTCTAAGTGTAATGTGTATGAAGGTCAATGTATACCTGTCGTTTCGAAAGTTAGGGTGTTCACCCGTCGTTTCGACAGACATGGTCTGTCTTTTGACTTGTAAACCCATCAACATACGTTAGATGATTGAATTGACTCAGGGTATAGATGGATATATAGGTCAATGTGTACTCGTCGTACGCAAAGGTTTCATTTGATCACCCGTCGCTCCGACGGTACGAAGTTGCATATATAGGCATCTTAAACGAAGCAATTTGCTGGGGTATTTACCTGTCATTTCCGCAAATTTAGTACGCGAAGTCTTCGAAAATACTAAATTCGTGTCTTTATTGATTTTATATCACGTCGTTTTGATGGAACGCTGCGCGAAGTCGCCGCTGCTAGGGTGTGTGCCTGTCGCTCTGACGGAAATGACGGCGAACTCTATGCTAATAGCATATTGTACCATTCAGGGTGTTCACCCGCCGTTCCGACGGACATGAAGCAATACAAATTGCTGAAATTATACTTGCTCATCACTTTCCAAGATATATATGTTGACTTATATAAATTGATAATTATGATAATCAATGAAGATCGATATGTTGACCTATCCTTTTGCTTTTAAATATCCGGTGAGTTAGGTGATTGCCAAATTATGAAGCCAATGTGTATGCAATTCAAATTGTACCTGTCGACGCCGGTCATTGTATACTTGTCGTTTTAAAGGTCAATGTGTACCCGTCGTTACGACGGACGCAGTAAGCGAAGTCTGTCTTTTGATCTTCGTACCCATCATTTTACTTCTATATACCCAGTTTAATGGCAATTAATGGGTATAAAGGTGAATGTAAACCTGTCGTTCCGTAATGTAGAATGTCCGGTTGACTCAGGAAAATGAATAAGTATGATGCATTACAATTGACTCAATTTGCTTGTTGTACCTGCATCCACTTTAACTTGCTAAACGCGCTTGCTTTTGCCACTTTGTAGTGTATTATATGAGCACGGAGCCCATGTTTTGACTAACGAATCGAAAGCATGTGTCTTATCTACTATTCTAAAAAATCTGTGTTTGATATTGCAATATGTAATGATGCATATGAACATTCAAGTGTGCCATCGTTTCGTACATTGATTTTATAGATAGAAGCACGACATAAGGACACCCGGGGATGAACTAAATTCTATTACGGAAATTTCCTCATGTAACAATATATACAAAATGCAAATACAATACATATGGGTCACATCACTTATTGTAAGCAATTTAATACAACCTGATGAGAACGCTTGCTTTTGCCACCTTTCTAGTGTATTAATAAAGCACTGAGCCCATAAATTATACCGATTATAAAGCATGTCTCATCTTATATTTATAAATAAGCTGTGTTTATATTAAATATGAACACGTATGTGTGCAATCGTTTCGTATATTAGTGTCATAGATAGAAGCACGACCAATGGACACTCTAATATGGAAATCGCACATGTAATTATCAACACAAAAAGGCAAACTCTGCCAATGCGTTATGAGCCAAAAATGCATAATCAGCCAATCCAAAATGAGCGAATAATGCAAAAGTAGCCAATCCGAATGCCGGAAAAGGATCAAACGGACGGACAGTATTCTTTTATTATATAGACTAGGGTGTGTACCCGTCGTTCCGAAGGATACCCCTACAGTACATGTATACTGGTGATTCACTTTGCTTAGAATATCAGGTTAAATTGGGTAAATTAATAAACTATTAAAGTCAATATGTATTTAGCCCAATGTAATCCCGTCGTTTTACCGGGTACAATTCGACGAATTTCTGGAACGCGTTGATATACAGTCATTTGCTTGTAGATAATTCCTGCACGCTAGTAAATCGATGGACGATTGCATCATGTTTCATCGACCCACCTCTTTTATGGTGTTCACCCGTCGTTCTGATGGTGCAAAGTAGAATATATTGGCATGTTAAACGCCCCAATTTGCTAGGATGTATACCCGTCATTCCAACGGATATGGTGCGCAAGTCGACGCCTGTAATATATTGACCTTTACATCATCGTTTTACCAATTTGGTTGACTACATTAAAAGGATGATATGAAGGTCAACGTGTACTCGTCGTTCCAACGGACATGGTGATTGAAGTTTGCCTTTTGACCTTCGAATCCAACATTTTCCCTTACGATGTTAAGGTAAAGTGATGGCAATAAGATTCAATGTGTACTCGTCGTTCCGACGGATAGTAGCGTGCGGATCGAATCAATAGATTTAATTGTGTATATAGGACCGTATGTAATTCAATTTATGTCTATCAATCAATTCTTAATACAACTTTTTGCCTGTGTGCAGCTTTTGGTAGTGCCCATTTGTTCCGACGGATAGGGGCGCGATTCTACGATGATAGTACCCTGGCCCACCCTATATCTTTACATAGGGATGCTCACCCGTCGTTCCGACGGAAACGGTGTGTAAAATCTGCCTGTTAAAGTTCGCACCCATCTGCTTACCTTAGTATATCCGGTTGACTCAGTAAAGTGATGGATATGAAATTCAATGTGTACCCGTCGTTCCGATTCTATTCTGTCTATTTACATAGCATGATGGACGAAGTTATTATAAACAACTAACTATACAAATTTCAGTTATGCTATCCACTCCTATAGATCAATGTCCGACAGAATTTATTGCTAAACCTGATATATATTGCTAATTAAAAATATAAGTGATGGAGATCTGCTTACGTTAATGCAAATAAGTAGTTGTGTTCATCTGACGTTGCGACGATAAGGTCCGAGCGGACCATAAATTTTAAGAAATTAAATTGAAAGGACCGAATGTTGGTGTGTCAATCAGCTTTTTCCATGCTACTTTCAACCTATATGCAGCTTTTTGATACTAAGGTCTAGGATGTGAATCCGTCGTTCTGACATATGGGTGCGCAAATTTTACGCTGATAGCATATTGGCCCACCATTTTACCTTATTATATATCCAGTTTACTCAAGTAAATTAATATAGTTGATAGTCAATGTGTAAGAAGAGCAAAGTGTACCTGTCGTTTCAAAGGTCAACTTTTACCTCTTCGTTCCGACGGACACGGTGCGCGAAGCCTGCTTTTGACATCGTACCCATCTTTTTACTTTACAACATCTGGTTGATGGAGGAATCTAAATGAGTATGACACAATACATATGAGTCATATAATTGATTCCAGTACAACCTGATGACAATGCCAAGGTATAAAGTATATTTGAGGACTGGGCATTTATGGACTGAGCCCATGTTTGTGATAAAAAAATTTAGAATGTGTCTCATTTATTATTTTATAAAGCTGCGTTTGATATTGCAATATGTAGTGGTGAATATGAACACATATGAGTGCAATCGTTCGTATATTAATGTTATAGACAAAAGCACGACAAATTAATTCTCTGATATGGATATTTGCAACTGTAGTAATAGTGCAACATACTAACTCTGTCAATGCAAAAGGAGCCAAAAATGATAAATCAGCCAATCCAAAATTAGCAAATAATGCAACAGTAGCCAATCCGCATGCCGGAAAAGGATCAAACGGACAGACAGACAGACAGACAGACAGACAGTATTCTTTTATTATATAGATGACACAGGTGGTATGGTTAATGACCTGCGAGAACCAAGATGATAACCAAGATGATGACCAAGATGATGACCAAGATGATGACCAAGATGATGACCAAGATGATGAACAAGATGATGACCAAGACGATGACCAAGATGATGAACAAGATGATGACCAAGACGATGACCAAGATGATTGCGCAAGTACTTTCATTAGTTGGGTTAATCTAGCCTACCATATAACACTCCAACAAATACATTCTCAATTTTACCTTTGACTCCGCAAACCCCCTCAAGCAAGGCTTGCGGACTGATCACCCCTCTGCAAGCCACGGGTGTGTCATTCTAATATATCAAATTTGGCCAATCAAGAACGAGAATCCCGTCGCTTTCAATGTGGGACGGAACAATGAAGATGAGTACGTCACGTACACGATCGTGACGTGTGAAGAAATCGCGACCGCACCAGCTGACTTCGCCAAGCTGAAAATTAAACGATTTCGCGGAGGATCCGCGAAGGACTGGCTCCAATGGAGCATGAAGTTCAAGAGCCTCGCGAAAAGAAAAGGCTGGGGTGCTGACCAACTCACCGTTCAACTGCTCACGCTGATCGACGGAGATCTATCGCGCGAGGTCGAGCGCATCGCCAGCGAATCTTCCGAGAAAGGACATACGTTTGAAGACTTCTACCGTGGGGTCGGCTTACTCCTGGTTCCTGCGGACTACAGTGAAGACCTAGATGAGGAGCTATGGACCCTGACCAAGCGCCGAGACGAAACAGTTCAACGCTGCTCGGCACGTCTGCGAGAGCTTGCTTAAATGTACGCCGAGTTGCCGCAGGATGCGCAAACAATTTCGGAGAATCAACTCTGTCGCTACTTTCGCCGAGCTATGCCTTCAAATTGGCAAGACAAGGCTGCATTTTGTGGAATCTCCTACGAAACCATAACAGAGCTCGCGATGTACTTTGAGCGACTCGAAAGGCGCGAAAGACAGAATGGCAGGGAGCGCCAGAATGGTCACGGAATAAATGGTGAAAGGGGCAAGGTCGGCGTGACCACCAACGCCCGTTCAACGACCGCAATGACCGCAGAGATCGTCGCAACCAGCGCGGACATCATGACTCACACGAGAATCGTCCTCACAGACGGACTGTGACAGACAACAAAAAGCAAAACGACCGCCATGATGATACTGGTATGTGGTGTAAGTTCCACAAAACAAAGTCTCACAACTCCAGCGAGTGCTTCACTCTCAAGAAGCAGCGCGAAGAGCACAAGCCAAATGAGATACAGACAACAGTCTCAAGCAAGAACAATTATCCCAGATTTGAAGAGGAGGCAAGTGACAGTGACAGCGACAGCAACAGCGAGATTAAGCTCGTTGGTCTGGTCGCCAAGAAGCATACCAGCACCAAGCTCGCTCCGTTACGCATCAAGGTTCAGCTCAAGAACGCAAACGGCATCTTTGATGCGATAGTGGTGCATCGATAAGCATCATCAACCAGAAGACTATGCAGGCCAATGTCCAGCTTGGACGAAAACAAGTCGCATCGTCGACCAAGTTTCAGACGGTAAATGGCGAGGTGACGAGTGATGGCAGTGCAGTCGTTCAGTTTCGATTTGCATCCCTCAAGCCTTCAGCCATCATCACTCACAGGTTCGAAATTCTGGAGAAGATTCAAGATGCTATGGTGATTGGTCGGGACATCATGACGTCATTGGGCATTGTGCTTGATTTCAAAAAAAGGTTGTTCAGTGGGATGGCCACTACGCGCACCTAAATACCGGTGGGTCACACTCTTTCGAGGTGAGCGATTACGAATTTCTCGAAGAAAGCAAAGAAATTGCTGAAAGTGCAGTTCAACCAGAAGAACTCATGCCCGACACACTACCCAACTCTCTCGCCGACGAATATCATCAGCTTCTTCGTGATAACGAGAGCTTGTACGATGGTCACTTGGGAAGGATGAGATTTGAAGATTACATCTTGCCTATCTCACCTGACTACAAGCCCGTTCACGCTAAGCCATATCCTGTCCCACGTAGCCTCGAAGGAAAGGCGCAAGAGCTAATTCAACATCTAGTTAGCATCGTCGTACTGGAGAAGATCTACGATTCGGAAATGGCATCGCCAGTTTTTTTTCTGAAGAAACCCAACGGTTCACTTCGTCTACTGATTGACTTTCGTGGGCTCAACCGATTTTTGCAGCGCAGCCCATATTACGTACCACGTATTCGAGTTTATTATTACGTCTCGCGGAAGCAAAGTGTCTTTCTACGCTGGATGCAAACATGAGGTACTACGCGCGTCGTCTCGCTACGTCAAGCCGTAATTACACTGCCTTCTGCTTACCTTTCGGGAAGTTCCAGTACAAGCGGCTCCCAATGGGAATTTCTACGGCGCCGGACGAATATCAAGCGTGCATCGAAAAAATATTTGGTGACCTGGATTTTGTCGTCGTTTATTTGGACGATATTCTCGTTTACTCTAGTAGCAAAAAGACTCACCTCAAGCACCTGGGTATCGTGTTCAAGCGTCTGAAGATGTATGATGTTACGCTTAACGGCAAGAAATGCCACATTTTACGCGAGTCTGTTGACTATCTGCTTCACGCTTACATCCGAGGGGATTCAACCCCAGCAGACGAAAATTCAAGCAATCCAACAGATCGCCGTACCCAAGCCCAGAAGGGAACTGCGCCGCTTCCTCGGGATGCAGCAGAACAGCAAACGCCTCGAGCATTTTTACAATGCAGGCGATCACGTGATGATGCGGATTTCCAAACAATTTCGTGCGAAGCTTGACGCCGTGGACAAGGACCGTTTCTAATACGTGCAGTTCATGACAACGGAACTGTCACGATAGACAAAGGCAAAGCGACCGAGCGTGTGAGTGTCCACCGCATTTTTCCATGCTGATTCTCACAGATCATGGGGGAGTATGACACAGGTGGTATGGTTAATGACCTGCGAGAACCAAGATGATGACCAAGATGATGACCAAGATGATGACCAAGATGATGACCAAGATGATGAACAAGATGATGAACAAGATGATGACCAAGACGATGACCAAGATGATTGCGCAAGTACTTTCATTAGTTGGGTTAGTCTAGCCTACCATATAACACTCCAACAAATACATTCTCAATTTTACCTTTGACTCCGCAAACCCCCTCAAGCAAGGCTTGCGGACTGATCACCCCTCTGCAAGCCACGGGTGTGTCATAGACTAGGGTGTGTACCCGTCGATCCGACGGACATGGTTTTATGCTATTTTTAAATATATAGGAGTGTTCCCGTCGTTTCGACCGACAGGTGCACAAATTTGACGATGATCGTATATTGACTTAGGTAATTGAATAGTATTAAAGGAATTGTGTATGAAGGTAAATGTGTGCCTGTCGTGTCGAAAGTTAGGTATTAACCCGTCGTTCCGACGGACATAATGAGCAACTCCACGTCGGTAGTATATTGGCCTTCATATTATCGTTTTAACATAAATACATTCGGGTGACTAAAGTAAAATTATGATGTGAAGGATAATGACTGCCCGCCGTTTCGACAAACATGGTGAGCAAAGTTTGCCTTTTGACTTTCGTTTATGTCTTTTTACATAAAAATGCCAGTTGACTAAGGTAAAGTAATGGTAATCTGCTTACGTTAATGCAAAATCAGCTAGGGTGTGTACTCGTCGTCCCGACAGTGCGCGGTAGTATAATTAGGCATTTTAGCGCAGCACTTTGATAGGGTGTTCACCCGTCGTTCCGACGGATAGGTGCGCGCGGACCGAATATATAGATGTAAAGATGCATAAAGGGCCGGATATAATTTTCTTTATGTGTTGCAAACAGCTTTATTATGCTACTTTTAGCCTGTGTGCAACTTTTGTTAATGCCCGTCATTCTGACGGAAAGGGGCGCAATTCTACGCTGATAGCACCTTAGCTCACCATTAAGCTTAGAATAGGAATGCTCACCCGTCGTTCAGCCGGAATTGGTGAGAAAAAGTCTACTATAAAAGTTTGTATTCATCTTTTTAGCTTATTATATTCGCTTGTTCAAAACAAATTGATAAGTATGAAAATTAATGTGCATGAAAGTCGAGATGTACCTGTCGACGCTGGTCAGTGTGTACCTTTCGTTTCGAAGGTCCATGTGTACCCATCGTTCCGACGCACACAGTAAGCAAAGTCTGTCTTTTGATTTTCGTACCCATCATTTTACTTCTATATACCCGGTTCAATAACGCAAATTATGGGTATAAAGGTGAATGTAAAACCGTCGTTTCGTACTGTAGAATGTCCGGTTTACTCTAGTATTTGAATAAGTATGATGCATTGCATTTGAGTCGGTTTGCTTATTGTACCTGCATCCACTTAAACATGCTAAACGCGCTTGCTTTTGCCACTTTGTAGTGTATTATATGAGCACGGAGCCCATGTTTTGACTAACGAATCGAAAGCATGTGTCTTATCTACTATTCTAAAAAATCTGTGTTTGATATTGCAGTATGTAAGGATGCATATGAACATTCAAGTGTGCCATCGTTTCGTATATTGATTTATAGATAGAAGCACGACATAACGACACCCGGGGATGGACTAAATTCTATTACGGAAATTTCCTCACGTAACAATATATACAAAATGCAGATACAACACATATGGGTCACATCACTTATTGTAAGCAATCTAATACAACCTGATGAAAACGCTTGCTTTTGCCACCTTTCTAGTGTATTAATAAAGCACTGAGCCCATAAATTATACCGATTATAAAGCATGTCTCATCTTATATTTATAAATAAGCTGTGTTTATATTAAATATGAACACGTATGTGTGCAATCGTTTCGTATATTAGTGTCATAGATAGAAGCACGACCAATGGACACTCTAATATGGAAATCGCACATGTAATTATCAACACAAAAAGGCAAACTCTGCCAATGCGTTATGAGCCAAAAATGCATAATCAGCCAATCCAAAATGAGCGAATAATGCAAAAGTAGCCAATCCGAATGCCGGAAAAGGATCAAACGGACGGACAGTATTCTTTTATTATATAGACTAGGGTGTGTACCCGTCGTTCCGAAGGATACCCCTACAGTACATGTATACTGGTGATTCACTTTGCTTAGAATATCAGGTTAAATTGGGTAAATTAATAAACTATTAAAGTCAATATGTATTTAGCCCAATGTAATCCCGTCGTTTTACCGGGTACAATTCGACGAATTTCTGGAACGCGTTGATATACAGTCATTTGCTTGTAGATAATTCCTGCACGCTAGTAAATCGATGGACGATTGCATCATGTTTCATCGACCCACCTCTTTTATGGTGTTCACCCGTCGTTTTGATGGTGCAAAGTAGAATATATTGGCATGTTAAACGCCCCAATTTGCTAGGATGTATACCCGTCATTCCAACGGATATGGTGCGCAAGTCGACGCCTGTAATATATTGACCTTTACATCATCGTTTTACCAATTTGGTTGACTACATTAAAAGGATGATATGAAGGTCAACGTGTACTCGTCGTTCCAACGGACATGGTGATTGAAGTTTGCCTTTTGACCTTCGAATCCAACATTTTCCCTTACGATGTTAAGGTAAAGTGATGGCAATGAGATTCAATGTGTACTCGTCGTTCCGACGGATAGTAGCGTGCGGATCGAATCAATAGATTTAATTGTGTATATAGGACCGTATGTAATTCAATTTATGTCTATCAATCAATTCTTAATACAACTTTTTGCCTGTGTGCAGCTTTTGGTAGTGCCCATTTGTTCCGACGGATAGGGGCGCGATTCTACGATGATAGTACCCTGGCCCACCCTATATCTTTACATAGGGATGCTCACCCGTCGTTCCGACGGAAACGGTGTGTAAAATCTGCCTGTTAAAGTTCGCACCCATCTGCTTACCTTAGTATATCCGGTTGACTCAGTAAAGTGATGGATATGAAATTCAATGTGTACCCGTCGTTCCGATTCTATTCTGTCTATTTACATAGCATGATGGACGAAGTTATTATAAACAATTAACTATACAAATTTCAGTTATGCTATCCACTCCTATAGATCAATGTCCGACAGAATTTATTGCTAAACCTGATATATATTGCTAATTAAAAATATAAGTGATGGAGATCTGCTTACGTTAATGCAAATAAGTAGTTGTGTTCATCTGACGTTGCGACGATAAGGTCCGAGCGGACCATAAATTTTAAGAAATTAAATTGAAAGGACCGAATGTTGGTGTGTCAATCAGCTTTTTCCATGCTACTTTCAACCTATATGCAGCTTTTTGATACTAAGGTCTAGGATGTGAATCCGTCGTTCTGACATATGGGTGCGCAAATTTTACGCTGATAGCATATTGGCCCACCATTTTACCTTATTATATATCCAGTTTACTCAAGTAAATTAATATAGTTGATAGTCAATGTGTAAGAAGAGCAAAGTGTACCTGTCGTTTCAAAGGTCAACTTTTACCTCTTCGTTCCGACGGACACGGTGCGCGAAGCCTGCTTTTGACATCGTACCCATCTTTTTACTTTACAACATCTGGTTGATCTAGGAATCTAAATAAGTATGACACAATACATATATGTCATTTCACTTGTTTTAATTGATTCCAGTACAACCTGATGACAACGCTTGATTTTCCCAATGCCAAGGTTTAAAGTATTGATGAGGACTGAGCCCATGTTTGAATAAAAAAAATTAAGAATGTGTCTCATCTAATAATCTAAAAAGCTGCGTTTGATATTGCAATATGTAGTGGTGAATATGAACACATATGTGTGCCATCGTTACGTATATCAATATTATAGATAGAAGCACGAAACACTAATTCTCTGATATATATCTGCACATGTAGTAATAGTGCATCATGCAAACTCTGCCAATGCAAAATGAGCCAAAAAGGCATAATCAGCCAATCCAAAATTAGCGAATAATGCAAAAGTAGCCAATCTGAATGCCGGAAAAGGATCAAACGGACGGACGGACGGACAGTATTCTTTTATTATATAGACTAGGGAATTTACCCGTCGTTCCGACGGACATGGTTTTAGGATATTAATACATATATAGGGGTGTTCCCGTCGTTTCGACCGATAGGTGCACAAATTTGACGCTGATCGTTTATTGACTTGGGTAACTGATTAGCTTTAGAGGGTAATGTGTATGAAGGTCATTATATACTTGTCATTTCAGAAGTTAGGGCGTTCAATTGTCGTTTTGACATGGTCCTCCTTTGGACCTGTAAACCCATCAACATACGTTAG